ATATATATATATATGGCATTTAGGGGTTAAAATGACAATAAATTATCTTTTAAAACAGCATGGAGTTTACGAGGGGGTTCCTGGAATTTTTTTCGCCCTGAGTCCCCAGACCCAAATGGCTTGAGAACCCCTGCACTAGGTGACAATATATTGACAATATGAACTCAAATACASATGTGGAATATTAATGATAAGGCTTAAGAGAGCAACATGGCAACATGTGACTCATGTTGTCTGTTAAAGAATGTTCCACAGATTGACTGGGTTATTTTAGTGCTTTATAATTAGCTTTTGCTAAATTTTCAGTATGTAAGTGCTTTAGAATTAGGGGACCTAAATATTTGTGTTAGTGCTTTAGGGCTAGTGGAACTAATTTTTAGATCAGTGCTGCCCTCCACTGGCAATTTGCAACGCTCAGGTCAGGGTAAGAGTTGTGAATGACTCTCAGCTACTCCCAYGTCATGATTTAGCTCAATTTCAGAAAGCCTGAGTTTTAGCTAAATCAATGAGTATAAGGTCGATTGGCTGTGGCAGCCATCTTGAATAGGGTTCACTTTAAAAATTATTCACATTTAGTCATGTAGCCAATAATTACTTTGTGAGAGATTCACTGATGTTCATGAGATATTTTGTGAAGAGACAAGCAAGATCGACTCAGGTTTTACACACAAGCTTTAAACAGAGATGTCCTGCGACGTGCTGAGCTTGAAGTATGTATTTGAGGCTGTTGCTCAAAAACATCCACAACACATTTTAGCTCAATATCTGTAAAAAATCCTTTTTAAATTGAGCAATATTGAATAATTGTTGCACCCATTTTGAGTCAGGTTGATTCCAACAGTTAATCAGTTGCAGACGTTCATCCGATGATTATTTCTTGAAAATGTTATTAATATCCGTCATGTGGTTCACAAGATATTTTGCTGACAGACAAGCTGACTGTAAATAATTAATGGAAAATAGAGAAAATTTTGAGTTATATATATAAAACGTTGCAGACTGCATTCCTGCTAAAATTTAAAACCTACTGCCAGAATAATAAAGTTGCAGCAGCCGAAAGAACCAGATTATTACCTACATGCATTATTGATTAATTAAGTTGACTGTTTTTCAGCACCTTGACTCAGAATTGGTTGGTTTAGATCTGGTCACTCTATGGGAGGATCTGCTGTGCAACGACACAAAGAGGAAGAGGATTCTTTGCAGAAATGTCCTCTTTTTGTGTTGGTTGTGTTGGTCAGGGTGTGTGTGTGTTTCTGCAGGAGGTAGGTTGTGACTACGGTATCGATTCGAACGCAGTGGAGGATCGTTGCGGAGTCTGTTTGGGCGACGGCACGAGCTGTGAGACGGTTTACAAGTCGTTTGATGAAGAGGAAGGTTTTGGTAAGTGCAACAGCAATTAACCCAGTCAAACCATCCAAACATGACAGCTTGAACGGTTCTAAAACTACAGAAACACAACGCAGACACACTCCGGCTTTCATGTGCTGCCAAACCAAAGTGTGAAAAAAAGTGCAGAGCRTGTGTCTTCAGGCGGGGAAGTAATTTCAGGGCAGTTCATTAGTGTCACACCATTGTTTTTTTTTTCTTTTTGCCATGGCAGCCATCTTGGACAGCTGTTTGTCCTGCAAATGTGCGTTCATGTTTGTTTGATTTTACTGCAGTTGGAAAAGTGTAACTCACTTGCTAAATCAACATGCTGCAAAGACAGATTCATGGTGCAAGAGGCCCTAAAACAAAACAAACACAACTCCCTCCCATTCTTTTTGTTCTGTCTTCTTTTTCTGTCTGCATGGGTATTTTCCTCTCGATGCATCTCTTCCAGATAACCGGTCCAGATGTGTAGGACTTCAAAAGACTCATACCAAGGGCAAGCCCCCCGCCCTGCTTTAACACACACACACATACACACACCTTCCCACAAACATCATTAAACACCACAGACCTGCTCGTTGTTGCTTTCAGCCTCCCCTCAATCCACCCACACTCTACGCCCCCACGCAATTAAGAAAAGCAGAGACAGGGCGATGCCCCCCATGCAGAATCAGCACACATGCCAGCAGCCACCCTCGCAAACTCAGCCCACCCTCCATTAAACATCAGAAAGAAGGTGTCTGGATGTGAGCACGGCAGCAGCCACGGTGGGCCCTCCATTACCGTCAATGTAACTCAATCCCCCTCCCACCGTCTCTCCCAGGGTACGTGGATGTGGGGGTGATACCTGAGGGGGCTCGGGACATTCTGGTAAAGGAAGTGGAGGAGGCAGGTAACTTCCTGGCTCTGAGAAGCCAGGGGCTGGATGAGTACTTCCTCAACGGCAATTACATCATCCAGTGGAACGGCGAGTACGAGGCGGGCGGGACCACGTTCTACTACGAGCGGAGCGGGAACATGGAGAACCTCACCGCCCCCGGGCCCACCAAACACCCAGTYGTGCTCCAGGTGGGCCCCCTTTGGATAGTAATACATGAAAGATTTGTAAAGTGTCAAAATATTTAAGTAAACTTAACATTATAAGTTCCAACCAATCCGAACATTTGAATTCCCTCAGAAGTAAAATTCAAAACTAATCGAATCTGTCTAAAATCAAGTATTAAAAAAAATTATCTGTTTTTTTAGTTGCTTTTTCAGGAAAAGAATCCAGGTATAAAGTATCAATACACCATCAAGAAGGTCAAAGAAACCGAAAATGAAGTGACTGAACCAGTTTATGTTTGGCGACATGGAGCCTGGACGGACTGCAGCACAACCTGTGGACTGGGTTCGTCTTGCATTCAAATTTAAACATTAATGTGTGACGTAATGCTGATTCAGCATTTAAACTGTTGTTGATTTGGCATCTTATTATGTCAGCATTCTTTTAGAATTTTAACCATTCAGTTATCAAAATGATCAGCGTAAATACAGGAGGCAGCTACTATGATGTTTTTGTGCCTTTTCAAAAATGTACATTTATTTAATTTTCTTCTTGATTTATTTAAAAAAAATTCATGTTTTTTCAAGTATTTGTTGTGCAAAATTCAGTTTCAGTTTTTTATTTTAGCTTTTAAATGCTGTTTTGCTAGTTTTAGCTCTAAACCTTTTTAGGTTTTTAGCCACTGTTTTGCTTATTTTAGCATTTCACTGTTGTGCTATTTTTAGTTGCTGTTTTGCTAATTTTAGTTTTGATGATTTTTGCTTTAAACTATAATGTTTTGATGGTTTTAGCTTTCAGCGAGTTTTGTTGATTTCATTATATATTCTGATTTTTTACTTCAACAATTCCATTTTAGCTTCAAAAAATTTCAGCAAATTTATTCAGTACCAGCACTTTTAGTTTTGCAAAATAATGCACTTTTTTATTTTTGTATTGTCATTAACAGAGAATGTGTATTCTGAAATTTTGTTGACTTTAGGACAGCAACAGCAGCCCGTTCGTTGTTTTGATGTCGATGTGGGCGTTGTGGAGGAGTCTCTGTGTGACCCGGACAGCCGTCCAGAGGACAAACATCGCATGTGTAAGAGCATGGAGTGTCCTGCTCGGTGTGTACTCTCAAACATTAATGTTTATTTCTAAAGTTTTATATTTAAAATCTCAATAAATTACTTTGACCATCATGATTGAACTTGTTTTAACAACTTAACAAAAATGGAGAACAAACATTGTTTTATTGTTCATTTTCACTTTATTTAGATATTTTTGATTATATTTAAGGGATCCCCGATTAGTTGTAACATTAGACTTCATATGATAACATATACTTTAACTGTAAAATAAAGACTGTAAAAATACTGTAGGATGTTCAGTTTTTATCATTTTGAAACTAAATGTTAAAAATATATTACACGGACAGAGCCATTTTACTTACATGCAAAGCATTCTGGGTAAATGATGACATCAACTAGGTCATCGGTGCGAGGCTGCTAGCGAGCTATATCCACCCTGAAGGCTAATCTTGGACAATATCTGATGATCGACTCTTTTAAATGAAACCAGAGAGCGTTGACAGAGAGGAGAAGGTAGAAATGACTCAGCCTGGAACTGAAAATATGGATGGAGGACAACAGAGCTGCTTCATGGCTTTAGCATTAGCCCCGATGCTATCACCATATACATGTATTAGCTCAGCGCTACACATTCTCCTCTCGTCACTGAGGTCCTCCATCCACATGACAGAGAGGGGAACGCAAAAATGACTCAGCTGCAACTGAAAATATGGATGGAAGACCTCAGTTTAGTTTATTTGTCGCACTAATGCTGAGTTAATGCATATAAGGCAATATAGCGTCGGCCCTAGCGCAAAGGCTAACAGGCTATGCTGAGGAAGCTTAACTAATAAAAAACAAACTAATAAAAAATGTTTTACATTAAAAAATAAGTTTATAGTAACAGGTAAAACAAAAAGCAATTATTTGTTTGTTATATAACACAATTTTTAKAGCTTACATCACTTCAGAACATATTTCTATAGAAGACTTTAGTCTGCTGGTCAAAATATTAAGGTCAATAGTTGAAAAGATAAATATAAAAAAGACCCATCCCTGTTTATTTTCATTAAATTTATATACTGTATTTAAACGATGTCGTATGTTTGATCATCAGGAGTCTCTTCTGTTCCTCTGCTGTCTCTCAGGTGGTGGGTCGGTGGCTGGCAGCAGTGTTCAAACAGCTGTGGATCAGAAGGATTGAGGAAGAGAACGGTTCTCTGCGTGCGCACAGTTTCAGGGGAGGAAAGAGTCCTCCACCCTGTGGAATGCAAGCATCTACTTAAACCTAAACCTGTTGTGCCGTGCAACAGAGATGTGCCATGTGGGCAGGAATGGGCTGTTGGCAGCTGGGAGGAGGTAAGTCTTTTCAAAGGAATTTGATTTTCTACCGGGCAGCTTGTGAACTCCCAGACCCCGGTAATACCAATCAAAGACTTTCATCCCGCGATCCTCCCCGAGCTTGATGCCATCCTTTTATTTTCTAAGCTGAAGTTTTCTTTGTCTTTTGTCTTTTTGAAGTGCCCCGTCACGTGTGGAGGAGGCGTTCGCTCACGCACTGTGACATGTGCACTGGAGCCCAAAAAGACGTGTGACCCCTCTACTAAACCCAGGTCCAGATCACTGTGTGCCTTGCAGAGTTGTCCCAGCTCGGGTCTAAACAGACGGCCTGGACTTCCCCCTGTTTCCCGCCGCATTTACCCACCAAAAACCCACCCTACCAAGCATCCCGGCTCTCCCTCATGGGCACCCACAGCAGCACCTACAAATGCTTTTATTTCTACAACTAGATCCCAGTACAGCCCTGAAGCCACAACCCCTGAAATCATAAATGCAGATGATTATAAATTTAATGTTGTGATAAGAAACATTGATTCCACTAAACCAAGTTCAGCTAAAAAGGAGAGGAAAACAACTATTGTAGAGGAGGAAAACCTAGAAGATGGAGAGGAAGGAAGTACTCCAAACATGTGGATGAACCCTCCAGGATTTGATTATGTTATTGAGGATGGGATAAAAGAAGGAGAAAGAATTAACGATATGAACTTTTTCACCTCAGTAACGTCCCGCACAAGTCAAACAGCCACACCAACACCAGAAACATTTCCTTCGACCACGACCACAACTGCCCACCATCCCTCACTCACCAGTACCGAGACATGGACAAAGACAAATCACTACTTATACAACCCCCACACYAAGTCAAACACCGGCCCGAGCAACCACGGGACGCGCCGGGTTCCCCTGACCACTCACATGAACAGGAACCGCTCAGTCTTACCAAAACCAAGAACACTATCCACCACTGCAGCACCACCTCAGCCAGCAGTAACAGTTAGCAAACTGAAGATATCTCCTGTAACGATCAAGAAAAACAACCCCACCACACGAGCCAAACAGCCCCCTTCAAGGTCTAAAGGTAGTCACAGTAAAATCCAAAACCAGCAACCGAGAAGCTCCAAGAGCGGTTCTGCCAGGGATCAAAGCAACCTGATGGCCAGAGARCCGGTGAGCATGGATATATCCTGGGTTGCAGGAAACTGGAGCGAGGTAGGTAACACCTCATCATCAGCCTACAACAAGCATTAAAGCTTGATTATTGCCCACCATTGTGAAAGTTCAAGTTCAAAAATCTTTAACAACCCCAAGGGACAATTTGTTGCACCAAAACAAAAAAACATTCATACTACACACACACACACACACACACACACAAAAGATCACAAATATTCATGAAGAGGTTCCATCACTGCAGGGTTAAATGAGATTTCAAGACTTTTAGTCCAACATTTGGGCAATGGAGATGGATGAACTCACCATGGAGGGGGTGATCAGGGTCTGCCAGGGCTGTGTAGGCCAGTGAGGTTCAGTAGAGCTATACCAGCAATTCTGCTGCACATCCTGACAATCCCCAAGAGTTTGTGTCTGTTCTTACATGTTAAAACTCCAAACTGACAGATGAGAGGAAAAGGTAAAGGAAAAGGTGGGACAGTGCAGTTGCCTCTGTGTGTGTGTGTTCACCTGTCATTTGATAAAATATCTCACGAAGCATTATAGATGTTTTGATGAAGTAATCATTGATGTAACTGATTAACTTTTGAGTCAAGATGGCCACTAGAGTTATATCATACTCAGTGGGTATAGAGAATATCTTTTGGTTAAGCCCCTTGTTTTGTTCTTTAACTTGTTTTGGATGCACCGTGTCCTAGATGACTGAGAATCTACACCAGCTCCTTGGGTTCAGATTCAGTTTCAATCATTGCATGTCAGTTTTGGTTCTAAAAAAACCTGAAGGTCGACGGCTTAGCTCAAGGCTTTTGTCCACAAAATAACGTGCGACGGCACATCGGCCACATTCAGAATTTATATACGGTCTGTGCTCTTAATGTGGAAAAGAATGTTGGATTACCAGTAACRGATACACAACACACGATACAAAGTCACCTGTTAAATCCATGTAATGAAATTCCTACTTTTGTTTGCTCTCTCCTCACAGTCAACAAAATACACTGTGAAATGAAATAAAGAGAATAAAACAGTAAACAAGTTTAAAGAAAAAAACAGTAGTTTCAAATTCTAATTCGTCTTTGAATGCTTTTTATTATTACTAATTACAGCTCAATAATGTGTCATTTTAATCAATTTGCCATCAAATTTTACTCTTTTTTTTCTCCAGTGTTCAACAACGTGCGGGATCGGAGCTGTCTGGAGAACCGTGGTGTGCAGTTCTCAGAATGACGAGGACTGTGCCAACATGAAGAGACCTGAACCTGCACGAACATGTCACCTGCAGCCATGTGCCACTTGGCAAACTGGCAGCTGGAGCAAAGTGAGTAACCTTAGATTCCAACCAGCCACTTAATCTGATCACTACACCCAATACTTGTTTATCACACCTTATCATTAAGTTTAATCCCCTTTATTGTCTCTTACTTTACYAAACAAAGAAATGAGCTTGTTTGTGTTTTAGCCAATGGTTTTGTCATTTTTTTGTCCCCCCTACAGTGTCCAGATAAATGTGGGTTAGTGAGAAGGAGGTACCGTGATATCCAGTGTGTCGATTCTCAGAGTAAACGTGCCCTCAGACCTTTCCACTGTCAGGTTGTGTCCAGCAGGCCTCTCGGCACGCTGGTTTGCCCTCTAAAGCCCTGCATGAGCTGGAGCGTGTCACCCTGGGGGGCGGTAAGATCAACATAGAGTCAAATCTCCGTAATAATGCTAATGATGATCAAAACCTGTCCAAGTGTTGCTGCTTCTGACTTTAAAGGGATCCCTGATTAGTTGTAACATTAGACTTTATTTGATAAACATTTATTTTGACTATAAAATAAAGACAAAAAAATACTGTAGGCTGTTTAGTTTTGTAAATTTTTAAAAATATATTTTAACACGGATGGAGCCATTTTATTTACACACAAAGCATTCTGGTTAATGATGATGTGGATAGGTCCTCGGTGTGAGCGAGCTATATCCACCTGAAGGTTAATCTTGGACAATATCTGATGATCGACTCTTTTAAATGAAACCAGAGAGCGTTGACAGAGAGGAGAAGGTAGAAACGACTCAGCTTGTAACTGAAAATATGGATGGAGGAC